GAAACAATGACTTTGCAGTAGCTTTTGTCTGAAAATTCTTTCTTCAAAAGTTCATCCTTCTTAATCTTGATTCCTTCATCGTTCATATGGTTGAAGAAATATATCGCTTTCCTCAAGTCTGAAATCACTATTGAAACACGTGCATTGGTTGTTGTTGAAGTATGTCCAAAGTTGCTATGGCTGATTATTTGGTTGTGGATCACACCAAATACTTCCGATGGCACTTCTCGTGTGAAGCAGCAGTAATATGGAGATGCTGTTTCTGGTGAAGCTCGAAGTCTTCTCATAACTCCATCGTGAAGCTTGCTTATAATTCGTTCAGTCATTGGCCAAATGTCCACCATTTGATGACAGTGATTTCTCTTGAACGAGCCATMATGTTTCATGAAAACAAATTCCATTAAAGACTCCAGCTCCCTAAAAACATTACTCACAAAATTTTCTTCTTTTGAACTTTTAGTTGGCACAGACAACATCCAATTTAAAGAACTGGAACTAATTCTGTGCTTCAAGTCCGCCATCTTGAATTTTTTGATCACTTTACAAATTTACCCAGAATTCCGTGTGCGCCCCCAATGATCCTTTTGCAGGGGTGGTTGAACCCGACGTGAAAACTCTGGCTTAAATGTACATTTTTCATAAAGTCATAAAAAGAACATTCTGTACATGTAGAATGCTTGTCGTTTTAGTAAATCAGAACGAAAAAAGCATCAGTCAAGGATAGTTTTCGTCAGCAAAGAGCTAATCATGAAAGACAAACTACAAACCTAAATAACGTTGAGTCACCCTCAATTTTCTATGCTTTGTTGAGATAATTCAATCAAACGTCAAAAAAGGACATACTTTATTAATTACAACATATATTACATATTTTTATACCATATATTTAAGTTGTGGAGTGCGCAAAGATAAAGATACACTGACTTTTTGTGAAAATAGTAAAGGCAATTCATTTTGCCTCAACAGAAAGTGAAGACTTAGWAGCTTATTTTTAACGAGTCATTTGTTGAGTTTCTTTTGTGCGTGCATTGCTTTTCTTATCATGTTATAGAAGTCATTAGCATGCTAATTCTCATCTGTGTATTTGTTCTTTTAAATTTAAGTGTGGCGACGGACGCCTTTTTGTAGCCTCCTCCGCAGGCAACACTACTTTTGGCCTTCTGGCCTTCTCGGGATCCCTTTGGTATCCCTCCCGGCCGAGGGGGCCTGGCCCCCGCCAAGAAAGRAAAGGAAGAAGTCTCCTCTCTTCTTTTCTTAGTGGGTCCAAGCCCCTCTCGGCCAAATGAGTAAGACAGGAAGCCCAGGAGCGGAAAGGAGAGATATAACGGAGCGAAAAGACGCCTGCGGAGGAGGCTAGCCTTTTTGGACAGTTTAATTGAGCATTATAAAAGTTCTTTRAAAGTTTTGGGATCTCAGTCCACTACTAGACTAAGTTAATTAGTGTTATTTAGTATGAAAATTAGCATGCAAATCGCAAAGAAATGTTCCTGTTATTCATCATCATTATATTATTGTTATCATAACCAGTTTATTACCAATTAATGTTGAATTAATTTATTACCAAGAAAGCCAGTATATGGCTATGATTTTATTATTCTGATTGTGTTATGAACTGAAGATAGTTGTATACACCAATGAGAATGAAAATTCACAATTTCTTTCCATTTATTAATTTAATTTGTGTAATAAAATTATGAGAGTGATTTTAAGTGTGAGATAGTTAGTAATCCAATAGATACCAGTACACCCTAAAACCATAAAATACTCTGTGAATTCTTTTGTTGGAATAGACTATTGGACACTATACTTGGCGGGCGCTCTAAAATCGGTACCTTTAAAAACACATTTTGATTCCTTGTTTTATACCATCCTATGGAGCATTTAAAAGTAGATCGATATTCTGGTATATTCTGGTATATTTTAGTATTCCAACAACGGTGGATAATAGATTGAAGACTTCAAATGCCTAAACGTTATCAAAACTCTTAGAATTCACACTAGGATATTTGTGGTTAGTTTTATTTAGTTTCAATAATAACCTGGCCAGACCAGTTCCGACCAGGGTGAGAACCAGAGCTCCCAAGCATTGTTTCCTTGTCCTCATGACGGAAGCATTCGTGTTTTCCAGAAGGCTGGAAATTTAGAAAAGCACATGGCATCTGAAAAATGCACTAGGGCCCTGGAGAAACACTCTTGAATGGATCTTGCCAAGATGGGATATAAGCAAGAGCTAGTAGAGGGCGTCGGAATCATACCAACTCTCAGAGCAAGCTCAGGGGACCATAACACCGTCGGCGTCGCCACTGTAAGTGAAGGATGGGCGTTCAGAGCAGCCAAAAAGGCCTACCGCTTTAATGAAAATCAGACGTCATACCTTACGGCAAAATTCGAAGTTGGTCAGTCAACAGGAATGAAAGCTAATGCAGAAGCTGTTGCTCTAGAGATGAGACGTGCACGTTGTGAAGATGGCAAGAGACTCTTCAAAGTTTCTGAGTTTCTGAGTACCCAACAAATTGCCTCCTATTTTTCACGCCTTGCTGCCAAAATTCGAAAGCAAACCCTATCAGAGCCTGATATTCAAGCTGTTCAAGAGGAAGAGAATTTTGCGGCTGCCGTCAATAAAGTAATTGAAACTGTCCACCTACAACATCCTATTGTCTTCGAC